AATATTTTTTATTTTTAAAATTAGTACATTAAAACTATTTAAAACTATAAAAAAATATATATATATTTTTTTTAAATCACGATTTGAAAGCACTCCCAAGCACACGCTCGTTATGGCAGTCCCAAGTTGCAGCTTTATTCAATGGCATAGGTTTTTTTTTTTGGCGAACTGTTTAGTACTAGCTAGTAAATTATTTCAATGCAGGCATCAAATGGTTCTGGGAAGGGCTCTTGCCTCTTGCACTACTTTCATGGAATTGGAAAATGGGTTTTACTTTTGCTACTGTTTTTCTATTTAAGGAAAAAATAATTAAAAAAAAAAGCATGCACGCACCATCTTGTTGAGTCTATATATGAATATATCTAACCTTTTTCATTTTGTCATCTCAAATTTCATGATGGGTCTCCGGCCAGCTGCTATTAATGATATATGATGTGTTGTTATCACCAATTCAGAAAGAAAACACCTTTAATTAATGCACAGGATCAATATTCTTCAATATCAAAGAGAGAGAAATGTGGAGCTAGGCATGCTGCAGTGACCTACCTAGCTCTGTCTCATATTTCTCTTTCGCTCTTCTGGGCTCCATGTGTTCTCTCCTCCTCACTCCTCTCTACAGTTATCCCTTGACGTTTTGGTTTCTAACGATCATGTCTCATGGAGGAGGACAGCGGATCCCCTCTCTCTCTCTCTCTCTCTCTCTCTGGCCTCTGCACAGTACGGACTCCCTCTTAGAACCGAGCCCCACATATTACAAATTCAAGCGCTAGCAATTCAACAAGCCAACCCTAGATACTGATAGGACCAGCCCTTAGACCTCAGCCCACTTCCAATAGGAATTGAACAAGCCTACACACAGAGGGAGCGAGAGGGAGAGAGAGAGAGACAGCTTTCTTCTCTGCCACGTACTGCTGTACTGCAAGTTAATTAAGGTGGGAAAAGAGGGTGAAACGAATAGGATGAGCCCAGCAACTTACTTTCTTTGACAGGGTGTGTGTCTTTTATTGGGTGCAATTACAGATGGCAGGTTTTTCATGTACTGGAGTGGTCGTATGCCTCCTCTTTTTAGCACCGTGCCTGCCTCGCCTCACAGGTAGATTCCTATATATGACCTGTGTATCATTTAATTTCATATAGAATATGGTTTCACCTATGACTCATATACGTCTACAGTGCTGCTCCCAATAGTTGATTTCTAATTACTATCTTGGACGAGTCTGATTGCATGTACGTAAACATCAACATTACCAAATCTAATATAAATCGTACTTTATATCTTAAAATATTATTTATTAATTTAAATTATTAAATTTATATAATTTTTTAATAAAACACTTGAGCTTTATCGATTAAATAATTATAAATTTAAATTTTATTATTTTTATTTTCCATTCTAATTAAAATCTAAATAATAGCACGATATAACATAATCCTATACAAATTTTAAACTTAAAGGGTTTTTGTTTTAAGATTATATTAAACAATAATATAAATTATATTAAGAATTTTTTTTTTTATTAGTAAATCTCTCTCCTTCCTTTGAAACTTTATAATGACATAAATATTAAATTTTCGTTAACTAATTCTGTGTGATTTTCCAGCTAAACGTATAAGTTTAGTAAAAATGGCAGCGAGATTCATGGTGAAGATTAATATAAATACATTGAAACTAAGCTTTCTTTTTATTTTATTTTTGAGAAGGAAGATTTATATTTTATATATTTCTGCATTTATTTTATATGTGATTTGTTACTGAGAATTAATGACTATTTGCAGTTTCCAACACTATCTTTATTGATATTTATTATTAACCTGTCGCCAATCGTACAAATATCCATCATATATATTTAATCGGAAGAAACAAACGTGATCAATTAATAAAAGTTTAAGATGCATCATACTGACTTAAAAAGAGAGGTAGAACCCAAAAGAAAAACCGGAAGGACCACTAGTGTTTTTTTACCCTAATATTAATAAATAATCGGAAAGTCATTTAAGCCCCCCTCAACGTGTGTTTTTCTACGTACATACATACATACATACATACATAAATACATACATACATACGTGAATCAATGTCACTAGATACCACCTGGTTTCCAAGTCAAGAAATGGATTAGTGCATGGAAAATCAGGGGCAATACAGGGCCCTTAATAAGTCACCGGAAAAGTTTATACACATATTAGAGTGTGTGAGTGTGTTTTCATGGTCCGACGGGAGGAGATCCATTCCGGAAAAGAAATTAAATAATAAGCTAAAAGACTAGAGGGAATTCACTGTTTATCGCTGTGTGTTATAACCTTTTCTTCTTCTTCTTTTTTTCATTTTTTGTTTTTTCTTTTACTTTTATTTTTTACATTTTTTTTGTTTTTTTGACTGAACTAAATTTATCTTTGTCAATTTTATTTTTTTAATATTAAACTAATTAAAATTTTTATTTTAAGATTTTTTTAAAATATTATGGATTGTTATAGTATTTTTACACATGATTTTTCTACTTTTTTAAAAAAATTATATTTTTTTTAATATTAAGCTGATTGAGAATTTATTTTTTCTTTAAATTATTGTTGATTGCTATAGTATTTATCGACATAATTGTTTTTTGTTTTTATGATTTTTTTAAAAATTATTTTTTATTTTATTTTTTAATATTGAGCTGATTAAGAATTACAGTTACAGTATATGAGTGAAGCATCATAGCTTTCCTTTTAAATTACTGTTGATTGCTATAATATTTTTTCTTACATAATTTTTTTATATTTTTTTTAAAATTATTTCTATCAATTTTATTTTTTAATATTAAACTAATTAAAATTTTTATTTTAAGATTTTTTTAAAATATTATGGATTGTTATAGTATTTTTACACATGATTTTTCTACTTTTTTAAAAAAATTATATTTTTTTTAATATTAAGCTGATTGAGAATTTATTTTTTCTTTAAATTATTGTTGATTGCTATAGTATTTATCGACATAATTGTTTTTTGTTTTTATGATTTTTTTAAAAATTATTTTTTATTTTATTTTTTAATATTGAGCTGATTAAAAATTACAGTTACAATATATGAATGAAGCATCGTAGCTTTCCTTTTAAATTACTGTTGATTGCTATAATATTTTTTCTTACATAATTTTTTTATATTTTTTCTAAAATTATCTCTATCAATTTTATTTTTTTAATATTAAACTGGTTAAGAATTAAAATTATAAATAAATTCAAGTAAGACTAAATCATGTTGGAAAAACACTATAACTTTTCTCATAAATACCATGGATTGATATAGTTTTTCCTCGTATGGTTTTTTTTCTAGTTTTTTTTTGTGTTTTTTAATGTTTTTTTTTTCAAAATTATCTTTGTTAATTTTTTTTAATATTAAACTGGTTAGAATTTAACTTTGTAATAAAACTTAATCATATGGGGAAAGCATTGTAGCTTTCCTCACAAAACACTGTGGATTGCTAGTCTCTCTATATAGTTTTTTTCTTATGATTTTTTCAAAATTTTCTGTCAATTTTATTTTTTAAATATTGTGCTAGTTGAGAATTATAATTATAAGTCATTACAAATAAGACTAAATCATATGGGGAAGCACTGTAGCTTTCATTACAAAACACTATGAATTGTTATGGTATTTTCAGCATAGTTTTTTTTATTTATGTTTTTTGGTTTTTTAATTTTTTTCAAAAATTATCCTTTTTTATTTTATTTTTTTAATATTGAGCTGATTGAGAATTTAATTTTGAAATTTTTTTCTTTAAAATATTGTGAATTATTGCAGTGTTTTTCCACATGATTTTTTTATGATTTTCTCCAAAATTATCTTTATTGATTTTATTTTTGTATATTGAGTTGATTAAAAATTATAATTACAATAAAACCAAATCATATGGAGAAAGTGTTATTGTTTTTCTCACAAAGCATTGTAGATTGCTATAATATTTCTGTAAATGGTTTTTTTATGATTTTTTCTAAAATTGTCTTTCTCGATTGTATTGGGAAAAAACACTGTAGTTTTTCTCATAAAAACATTGTCAATTGCTATAATATTTTTTCTCATGGATTTTTTCCTTTCAAAATTATATTCGTTGATTTTTTTAATATTAAGCTAGTAGAAAATTTAGTTTTGTAATTTTTTTCTTTTTTACTAACAGAAAAACTAAATCATGTGGCGAAAGTACTATATTTTTCCTCACAGAACACTATAAATTGTTATAAATCATTTTGTTTAATCTTTAAGTTTTTTATCACCAATACAATATTTTTGTCTGTCATGAAATATTGGCTCCATTATATCTTTATTTTATATTACTTATCTAGTATTAATTCACAATTATAATATTGTCAAATACATTTATTTTATAAGCTTGCAAGAACATTATCAAATACATTTATTTTATAAGCTTGCAACAGCACGTGAGCATACCATCTTGTTATCACATATCTTAGTGATTCCCAATATATATTAATCAATGAAAAGTTAATGCATAAAAATTATATATGAACATTGGAATTTATGGTTAAGTATTAAAATATAGATATGAATGAAGGTTTATTTGTTTTTATATTTTAAAAATATTTTTTAAAATATTTAAAATATTTTTTTAATATTTTTAAATTAAGATGTAAAAATATTAACACGGTTAATTTAAGCATGGAATTTGAAAAGGTAGCGTATGGAACAATGTATAGATACATATACAAAAACAAGTAGAGGCGGTGGTAGAAGTGTAGGGAGTACTGATGATGATGAGGACGTCAAGCTGGGCAGGCGTGAGAAAGGGAAGGCATAGTGTCAGTACATGAAGGAGCAAGCAGCTGTTCTTACTTCTCAGTCGGCGGGACCACATGCATGAATGGAATGGGGCTGGAGGCCTTTGATTCCTTTCCAATCTCTCTTTCATATAATTTCAGGATTGCCACCCCACGCCATCTTCTTCCTGTGGCAACCGACAGCATGCCCTCTCTCTCTCTATATTAGACAGACACACACACCACCTTTGTTTGCACCCCCAAAAGTGAAGCAGAGACGAGCTACAACAACCTTTCAGTTTCTTCTCTTTGCTGCCCCCTAAAAGAGTAGCTAGAGAAAATTGACTCCTTCCCCCTACCCCTTACCCACGCCTCCTCTCCTCTCCGCCACCCGATACATCAGTACTCGTCTTTCTTTCTAATTATCTCTCGCGCGTGGTCCTTAATTTGCTGGCCAACAACAAGTATAACACAAACGTTATATACAGATTAGATAGAGTAGCTAGCTAGTGATTGTAATATGAATATGGATAATATGGATTGGAATGGCAACTTCAGAAGCTTTGTTTCTCGACCAGATCAGACTTCCTTTAACTTCCTCCACAACTATGCCTATGACCCGCAGTATCCAGGTATGCACGTAATCATCAACCTTAATCATTAATTGTAGTGAAGAGATCTCCTCACCATTAAAGAATTCCATGCATTCACTTACCACCCAATCATACAATCTGAATCTGCATTTATATGTGTGTGTGTGTGTGATCACCTTGCTTTCAAATTGAAGCATGCATTGCATGGAAGCAAAAGCAATCATGCTTCAACCATTACTACCTAACTATATATCCATCATCATACCTCCTACTTATTATACTATCATAAATTAATAATTAGCAAGTGATTGTTTCCCACACACACACACACACACGTATGAAATGTTAATGTCTCGTTATGTATCGATCCTTCAGGCATGGACATGAAGCACCCAGCAATATTAGCAGAAAATGCACCCAACAGATTCGTCCCGACCGCTCTGGACAAGATCACCAGCTATGGGAGTCAAGAGAAGAAGAAACGATTGACAAGTGACCAGTTAGAGTCGTTGGAGAAGAGCTTTCAAGAAGAGATCAAGTTGGATCCTGATAGGAAAATGAAGCTCTCTCGTGAACTAGGGCTCCAGCCCAGGCAGATTGCTGTTTGGTTCCAGAATAGACGTGCTAGATGGAAAGCTAAACAGCTCGAGCGCTTATATGACAACCTTAAGCAGGAGTTTGATTCTGTGTCCAAAGAGAAACAGAAGCTTCAGGAAGAGGTTAATTGCTCATGTCATGAATGTGTTGTATTTTCTAACAGGAATATATATATCGACCTCTTCCCTTTTCTTCTCAGCACCCACCTAGCTAGGTAGTCCACGGACTCCATATTTAATTAGAACCTGAACCTCCCAACTTCTATGCTCGACAACCGAACTTAAACATATATATATAAATTAATGAGTAATTTTAATTAAGTTGGTTATGGATGTCAGGTAATGAAGCTGAAAGCAGTGGTGAGAGAACAAGCCACCAGGAAGCAAGTCTCAACAGCAGGGTACACAGAGATATCAGGGGAAGAGACAGTAGAAAGCACATCAGTTGCTGCAGCAAGTCGCAAGCTACGAGGACAGAGTCACCACCAGAGCAACGCAGAACACTGCAACTATCTTCTCCATGTGGATGAATACAACCCAGTTTCATCTCCTTACTGGGCTCTTTTGCCATCTTATCCTCAATAATCACTTCAACACCTGCTCCATAACTCTTAAATATCGGGCTAGCTAGCTGTTATTATGATATATACATATATGGACATTGTTCATAAATATTATTCTTCTTAGGGGGTTAATTAATTTAGCTCATAATTTAACCTTTAATTATGACAATGTTAATTAATTAATTAATTTCCTGTTTAAGTACATCGCACCCTCATCATCTCTGATTATGGTTAAGTCAGCATATATATTATTCAGACCAATCGAGCTGCATTGACATTTCCTGTTAAAAGGCATATCTCCCGCATATATATATATATATATTCACAGGTCAGGCTGGGCTCGTCCTTCCTAGCCAGCGCTGTGCTTTTCAACATCTTCCGTACTATGCATATCCCTCTCAGTTCCTTCAATGACGAGATATGCTTCATGTGACCTACCCTTCTCCTAGTACCGTATGAGTCTCTGTTTGAATTAACGGAAATGGATAGACAAGAACAACGTAATTTGTTTCCATAAACAGAGCAAGAAATCTATTAAAAAAATCATTTTCCCAGTTCTCTTAGAAAAATAAGGTTTTATGTTATATTTATGTTATACAACAAGAAAGATCATTGTATAACATAAATATTTAATAAGTTGTGTTGTTTTCAACAATAACGTAATTAATTTGTGTCTATTATACAACATGAAAGATCGTTGTACGTAGAGGATGACACAAATCAAACCTTCCTCCTAGAAGGCCTTCATTTGCATTTACATGAACATGGCAGTTTGTAGGAGAATAAGAAACATTTGCACCTGGTTGTTGAAGACAAATAACCAAATCACCGATTGACCTCTCCCTCATTCATCACACCATATCAAGTATACATGTAGCTCATGTTAAAAGGAAAAATCCATTAATTTTTAAAGATTAACGTTATACAGTTTTCATTAAAAGGCCAAAATGGATGAAATATTAAAAAAATTTGTTGTTAAAAATATACGGATAATCTTATATTTTTAGAATTAACATCAAAGTTTTTAATTGTTAAAAATAAATCAATAAAATCTCTTATTTTTTAGGAATTAATGTTATAATTTTTAGCTAAACCCCCAAAATCAATGAAATCTCTTATTTAGAGATTGATGTTGATTTTTTTTTTGTTAAAAAGCTAAAATCAACAAAATCTTTTATTTTTAAGATTAATGTCAGAGTATTTTTGCTAAAGGGTCAAGATTAATGAAATCTTTTATTTTTAGAGATTAATATCAAATTTATTGTCAATTATTCTATTTTTAGGTTCCAAAATTAATTTTTTAAAATAAATTTCAAATTATCTTAGCATGTATGGAAGAAATTTAGAAAAAACCACAGCAAATTTTATCTTTTAAAATGATGCAATAAAAGTGATATCTATATTTTCTTAAGTATAATTAATATTTTGTTTAAATCTCTAATATCTATGTTTATTTTAAAATTTCTAGTTTTTTTAATTATTAAATAATAAATTTTTTAGTAATGTTTTTTTTTATAATTTAGAAGATCTCGATCATCTTGAGAGCAAAAATCTTGATTCTCCACTAATGTCACTTCTTTGAAGAAGACTATTTCCCTCAACATTGATATTTTCCTGATTTTTCTTTCATTTTCTTGGTTAACCATGAAAGATTTAAAGGTTCCTCTATTGTTTCCATCTAGAAGTTGAGCAGCTCGATCTTCTTGTTTTTGTGCTAAGTCACCCATTGTTTCTGTATATTAGCTCTAGTTTCTTGCATGTCCTCTCGTATTGTTATTCCAGAAAAGAATTCATTGATATTGCTTGATTCCCACATTTTCTTTTTCAACCTTATTTATACACTGCAATCTTACATTCTATGTGTTAATTCTAACTAACTGTAACTAATTCATTAAGATAATATTTAAAAATATGGTAGTAATTAATTTTTTTTGTTTTTTTATAAATATTTTAAAATAATATATTTTTAATAAAAAATTATTTTTGACATCAACCTATTAAAATAATATAAAAATATTAATTTAAAATAAAAATATTTAAATTTTTTAAAATAATTTTAAAATACAAAAATAAATATACTTTAACTAAAAAAAGTACAACTAAAACCATGTGCCAAATTCCTACTAACTACTCTCATTGTATATTTTTCTCATGGATTTTTGGGTGAAAATTAAATCAAAGAAACAAAATAAAAATTACAAAAAATAAAATAAAAAAACAAGAGATCTAAAATTAGATAAGAAAATTGAGAAGGAGACGGGTCATTATTCTTGCTGCTGCTCTTCAACGGAGACGACTGGTTTTTACGTCTTAGAGAGAGCACCGTTGTTTTGGTTTCTAGAGAGAGAAAGGATACACGAAAGAGGAGGGATGGAATTTATCCATGGTCTTCTTGTAATTAGATGAAAAGTGAAAGATGATTTTTGTCCGAGAAAACTCCTTAGGAGAAGTTTTTCGGCTAAGAGAAATTAATGGAAAAATCCAAAAAACATTTAAAAGAGGTTTTCCAAGGCAAAGTATTATGGTTAAAAAAAGGAGTGTTTTTTTTTTTTATTATTCTTGCTGCTGCTCTTCAACGGAGATGACCGGTTTTTACTTCGTAGAGAGAGCAACGTTGTTTTGGTTTCTAGAGAGAGAAAAGAGACACGAGAGATGAGGGATGGAATTTATCCATGGTCTTCTTGTAATTAGATGAAAATTGAAAGATGATTTTTGTCCGAAAAAACTCATTAGGAGAAGTTTTTCGGCTAAGAGAAATTCATGGAAAAATCCAAAAAACATCTAAAAGAGGTTTTCCAAGGCAAAGTCTTATGGTTAAAAAAAGGAGTTTTTTTTTAATATAATTATTACTGATAATTTGCTATCTTTATTAGGAGTTTAAATATCATAAAATTATAAATATTAATCAACAATTCCAAATATTCAAGTTAAGATGACTTTTGGCACGTGGATTTTAAGACTTCAAGTATTATAATGAAAAAAAAAAAGTGAACATGAAGAAGTTATTCAAGACAAATTATAATTAATAGAAAAGGAAAGAGGAAATGAGGTTGAAAGTGTACTACGTGGATTATTATGTGAAAATTATTATAGAAAATCTATGAAAGGATTTTATATAAGGGAAATAGAAAGTTTTATCCTGAACGGAAAATCATCGTTCAATTAAAAAAAAAAAGATGGAATAGTCTTGTTTTTAAAATTTTTTTTTTATGTATTTTTATAATAAAAAAATTATGAATAGTGTTATATAAATAATCATGATATTAATTATTTTTCAAAATAATTTTCTTAAAAAAATATAAAAATATATATTTTTTAAAAATTATCTTTAATATCATTATATTAAAATGATTTAAAAATATAAAAAATTAATTTTTAATAAAAAATTTAAATTCAAATAGATACATAATTTTTTTGGGGGTAAAATAAAAAAAATATTTTAATTTAAAAAAAAGCGGTTAAAAAAAGGCGGAGAAGAAGAAATAAAAAAAGAGAGAGTAGAAATGGCAGTTGAAGTAACAAACAAATAAAAGGAAATCATTTGTGGAATGGAAATGTTTTAAGGTGACTCTTCATCATTTCCGAACTGACGACGGCACCTCACTATCACAACAGCCAAATTATATTTATAGAAAATAAAAAGAAAAAGAAAGAACTTTATCGAAACTGGATCCGAACCCGAATCCTACGCAAAAGAGTAGGAAGGCAGATCCATTTGTTTACCCTTCTAACCTCTAATCTAAAAATGGATGAGCATCGGCAGCAGCAGCAGCGGCAAGTGAAAGTAGAAGAGGAGGATCGGAGCAGCAGCAGTGATAGCGGAGACTACACTTCGGAAGACGAAGGAACCGACGATTACAGGCGCGGCGGCTACCATGCTGTTCGAATCGGCGACAGTTTCAAGAACGGACGATATGTCGTTCAGAGTAAGCTTGGTTGGGGTCATTTCTCCACCGTCTGGCTCGCTTGGGACACTCAAATTTCCGTACTCTCTTCTTTACCTTTTTATCAGTTTAGAAATTCAGCGACGATTGCTTTTTTTTTTTTTATGGATCTGGGTTTACATTGCGTGTGTTTAATAAAGACGGAGGCATGAATTTTTAGCCAACAACATCAGATCGTTTAAGTCTCAATATTCTATAATTCGACCTCCTGAATTGAATTGATAGAGTTTAAAATTGTTGTTGGGATTAGTCAGATATATGAATCACTTCTCACCATTTTGTTTTCTCGTTTGTAAAAACTGCCTAAACAAATTTTTATTTTGATTACCCTTATGAGCTTTTGTGGATCTTTTGTAATAAATTTTCTTTATCGGGTCTCTGATGATGTTTTTTACTTGGCCATAAAAATTGCAGCGATATGTAGCTCTCAAGGTACAAAAAAGTGCTCAGCACTACACTGAGGCAGCCATGGATGAGATAACCATCTTGCAGCAGATTGCAGATGGAGATCCTGATGATAAAAAATGCGTTGTAAAGCTTTTGGATCATTTTAAACATTCGGGCCCGAATGGTCAACATGTTTGTATGGTTTTCGAGTACCTGGGGGATAATCTTTTGACCCTTATCAAATATTCTGATTACCGGGGACTGCCTATTCACAAGGTTAAGGAGATATGTTTCAATGTCTTAGTAGGTTTGGATTACTTACACAGACAGCTTTCTATCATTCACACTGATCTGAAGCCAGAGAACATATTGCTATTAACAATGATTGACCCATCAAAGGATCTTATAAAATCTGGTGCTCCTCTTATTCTTCCGAATAGTAAGGATAAGTCTGCATTTGAGTCTGGGATTGCAAGATTAAATGGAGACTTGTCTAGGAATCAGAAGAAAAAGATTCGAAGAAAGGCTAAGCGAGCAGCTCAGGGGTGTGTGGAGAAGGAAGCGGATGCAGATCCTGAAACATCTGCTGCAGAAGAGTTGTCAGCTAATGCAAAATTAAATGAGGGTTCTACTGAGGAGCAGCCTACTAGTTCAGAAAATGCAAATAGATTATCTGATGTTGATCGAACAAGGGGCACT